ACAAGTCAAATAATAAACTTAAGAGTAAATAAAAAGGCTTTCCAATCACTGCTCACTCCCGCTGTCACAAAGACTGTCTCTTGTTTCCTGAATTTAGATCATAATAAACTACAGAATTTCTCTTGCAAGTTTTCGATCTATGTTACTGGTGATCTTAAATATTTTTATTTAAACATTCTAAGATAAACTTTTCTCAAAGGACATTTCTGGTTGGAATATTAGTTGTGGATCCAAAATACGCCCACACATACACACAGACACACGCACACACACACGCACGCACGCACACACTTAGAAGCTACCAAAAATGTAAGATGCTTCTGGCCCTGACAAATTTTAGTAATTTAAAAATCTAAGTGGCTCAGGGGCAAAACAAATGGCAAAATATGCAGCACTTTTATCCAGTGAACCTTGATTAAAGTGGCTCTAAAATAGTTCTAATAGTGTTTTGTACTTTTTAGAAGAAGAGAAAGCTGAACACAGTAAGCTCCTCCAAGACCAGGGGTCCAGTCTTGGCAGAGATCCATTTTCCTTCAAAAAAAGACTAAAGAAGTCCAGCCCGTGGCCACGGGGAGACCTTGAGAGAGAAGGGGACACACTTTGGTATTTCCAGTTCCTTAAGATTCCAAAAGATCAGAAAAATGACGACAGGGGAGATGCCACCTGACTTTGGCCAAAGTCCTCTACCATTTCGCACTTGAGGAAAGCAGTGTCTTCCCCGAGATCATGATACGTCAGCAGCAAAGCTCACCCTCGTCGGCTACATTCGCTGATACGCTTTTGAGCTTTAAACTTGGTTTTCTGTTCCAACCTGCTGAGACCTCCAGCCCACTCTTGAATCCTAGCGTACGCTCCACGTAAAAATAGCTCCTGTCACATACGACTTGATTTCCTTTCCCGTGATGGGGATTAATCCCAAACTGGTATACTTCCCACTGGAGCATGGAAACAGAAAAATTCAGGGTTTGATCTATGTCCCCATGGATATCATGACTATTTCAGAGTCAACGTCTGTGAGATGTTTGTCAACACACCCATTAACACAAAGAAAGATAACTTTTTTTTTTTTTTGAGAATTAAACTTTCAGGACAGAAAACAAGGCTAAGATTAAATTCTACTTACAGAGATGTGCAGGTCCTTTTGCTGTGATTCTCACACTCCGACTTCCCAAAGGAACGGCAATTACATTTTCTTCTCCTAGGAGTTGATACGAGATGAATGTAAAACTTGCACACTGAAGCCCCATAAAATAAGCAAGTCAATCGGAAAGGGGGGCATACAGCTCATAAAGCCTAACCTATTTACTATCATGCCCTTCACACACACACACACACACACACACACACACATGCACACACACACACACATACACACACACACACACAAAGGTAATTGCCCCCTAAAGATCCTGGTGCCTGGTGCTCTTACATATTCCGAAATCAATTTTCATGCCCACATAATAATTCAAGCTCATATATAAAAATTTGTCTCACGTGTCCCCTACTTGAACATTAAACCTGTTACTAAATGACCCCAATATTTTATCAGCGATATAAATTCCTTCGAGTAGACATTTTTCATTTGTTTACCTTCTAGAGGACAATTTTTTTGGATGGAAAAACTCTGTGGTGAAATCGTTTGATCAAAGGATGTCACTATTTGTTGACTGGTTTGCAAGTTTTGATTAAATAAAAACATATGTTTATTATTGAAAATTTGAAAATGCAAATAGGCAAAAAGGAATTAAGAATTATCAAGATGTCCCCTATTATGGGAGGGATTAAACAAATAATGGCACATCCTACTAAAGAATACGGCAAAACTGATAGAAGTAATAAGAAACTATCTGACATGATGTAGAGAGATTGCCAACATATATATTGATGAATTAGAAAAAAAAAAAACAAGATGAAAAACAATTTATATGGACCATGATTTCCTGAATAAGACACCAAAAGCACAAGTAACGAATGAAAAAAAAAAATAAATGGACTACATCAAAATCAATCTTTTGTGCATTAAAGGACATTACCAACAATGAAAAGGAAACCCATACAATGAAAGAAAATATTTGTGAGTCATGTATCAGATAAGAGGTTCATATCGACAATATACAGAAAATTCTTACACCTCAACACCATCACCAAAAAACCACCCAATTTAAAAATGGGCAAAGGATTCAAATAGGCATTTCTCCAGAGTAGGTAGAGAAATGGTCAATAAGCAAATAAAAACACTCTCAACATTGCTACTCATTATGGAAATGCAATTCGAAACCACAGTGAGATATAATTTCACATATATTAGGATGACCATTATCAACAACAACAAAAAAATAAAAACTCATCACCCACTCCCCAAAAAAACAAGTACTGGTCAGAATATAAAGAAATCGGAACCCTTATGGGCTGCTGGTAGGAATATAAAATGATTCAACTGCTATGAAAAACATTCCTCGAAATTTAAATATAACCACGATCCGCCAATTCCATGTCTGGGTATACACCCCAAAGACTTGAAAGCAGGACTCAAACTGATATTTGCACACTCACGTTCACAGCAGCGCTCTTCACAAGAGCCAAGGGTGGAAGCAACACAAGTATCCATCACAGATGAGTGTATGAATTCCAGGTGGTCAATATATGTGATGGAATATTACTCAGCCTTAAAAAGGCAGGCAGTTCTGACACACACTACATAACATGGGTGAACAGGGACACTGGACATTCCTGGTAAGTGAAATAAGCCAGCCATCAAAGGACCAATGCCGTAGGAGTCCACGTACAGGGGGCACCGAGATCAGTTGAGTCCAGAGTGGCAGAGAGTAGAATGCTTTGGTCACCAGGTACTGGGGAAGGCAGGGATGGGAGGGATTATGCAGAGAGTACAGAGTCTCAGTTCTGGAGAGAGAGGGTGGTGATGGCCACACAACTACGTGAATGTACGTAATGCCACCAAACTGTACGCTTAAAAGTGGTCAAAACAGTAAATGTCATGTAATGTATATTTAACTACAAGAAGAAGCTCCGTGCATAGACATAAGAATTATTGTGATACTACAGGTAACTTAGAAAGCTTTCCTGAGCTGAAGGTAACTTATTTGGGCAGGTCGACTAGGCTTATCGCTCTCTTACAAAATCTCCGTGAACTTGGGCTATCGGGTCTTTGAGAAGCATTTGTCTTGTGTGTCTGTGTGTGTGTGTGTGTGTGTGTGTGTGTGTGTGTGTGAGTGTGTGTGTGTGTCTGTTCCAATCATCACCCACTGACAATTACACACGTGAGTAAAACCTGTCAGACTAGAACCCCTGGCATCTTATTTTAGTACAACGGTCCAAATGTGGGGGAAATTTTTTCCCTGGGGCAGAGGGCGATGAACTGGAGCGGCTGGCGACAGCGACATCATGCTTGGAGAAATACACACTGCAGGCAGCTGGGCGGGGCTCAGAACGGAAGCAGCCAATAAGGGGACCCGCTTCAGGCCTTAACATCCTTAGATTCTGTTCAGTTCTGTCACTCTCCAGAAAGTTCTCCTGCCCTACTCACAGGAATCCTGACCCAGAAGTGCCATGTGAGAGCCAAGATGGGAGGCGGCCCATCTCCGGCCTCCCAGGCGATCCTGGTGCCACGTGTCTGTGACCACGTTTTGTGTGGCACCGATGACTGACGCAAGGGATGTGGTCAGGGAAAACGCCAGGCCGTAGGGACTGGAAGGGAGGATGGTTCCATCGTCACAAGCCTGTGGGCGTTTCTTCACCTTTCTGCAGGAAATGGCACAGCTGTAGTGCGGACCGGAAAGAAAGTGAGAACCCTGCTGAGCGAGAGGACTTTGAGGGAGGGACCGATGGCACCACGTGTCTGTGGATGAGGCTTCGGCGTGCTTTCTGAGGGAAACAGGAAGAAGACTGCGAATGGGCTTTGTGCAGGCGGCTTCGGCTGAGCGGCAGGCACAGGAGACGGTAGTGTGAGGAATAAATGATGATAAACTCGAAGCAGGAAGCGTAAACAGCTTTCCAAAACCCTGGCAGTAAGGGTAAGTGACAGATCAGAGTGGCCGCTGGAGACGTGGAGAGTTAAAGATATAGACATACATATGCACCAACATACACACGCGTGCGCGCGCACACAGACACACACACGCGTTTCAAAAATTATACTCTTATTTTTAAGATAGAAGAAATTTGGTCATGCTGATGCCTGATTGCGGGGCAGGGAGAGAAAGAAGCTGAGAGAGGTATGAGGTCTCTGAGGAAGCAGAGGGGGTGGGATCCAGAACCCAGATGAAGGGGTCAGTCAGCCTTGGAAGGAAGACAGACGCTCACGCCTCTGCCGGAGGAAGCGAGGACTGGGCGGCAGCTGCTGTAGGGCGAGGCCTCCCCGGCGGTTTGTTTCGCTGAGACCTATTTACTAGTATTTTTGCAATCTTCTTTAGAGGCAAGCATAGAATCCGTTTTTAATGGCCCGTAAATGCAGTATATGCCCTCGGAATGCAACGCTCAACACATAGCTGTTAATGGAGCATTAATTACATTATGTGGATCCTAACACGTAATTTTGACGGACTTAAGTGTTTTAAAGTCTCTCTCAGTAGTTTCAATTTCTTCTTATATATCCGTAGGATTTTTTTTCTTTATATATTTTGATGTAATGGTATTTGGTCACAAAATTTTAAGACTTTTTTTTTTATTATCAGTGGATATAAAATATTCATCCTTGTACTGTTTTGCTTTAAATCCGGCTGCTTCTGATATAAATATTGCTACCATGCTTTCCTTGTCTTACCTGTTACAATGAGCCACTTGCAAATCCCACATGGCCTCATGCTAAATCCCCCCGCAGTCTGGAGCCAGATTGAGAGCTGAAGGCCAGGAAGAAGGAAGGAATTGACTGTAATCACAGCAGGAGAGCAGGAGCAGGCTTCTTCTGCGCTTCGGGGAAGGGTACAGACAGACCCTTGAAACCTCCTACCACAAATTCACAGATGGGACTGCCAAGCAGGTCTGAGTCTGAAGGTGATTTAAAATACTATAGTTTCTAATGGTAGAGAATCCAGCGGTTGAGAACATACCAGGTGGAGAAAAGGCTTCTTCTCCATTCCATCCTACAATGTTGATGGCAGCAGGTGCGCTTTTGGGAACGTCCAGATTTGCTGGTGGTGGTGGTGATGGTGGTGGTGACGGTGGTGTTGGTGATGGTGGTGATGGTGGTGGTGTTGGTGACAGTGGTGGTGGTGTTGGTGACAGTGGTGGTGATGTTGCTGATGGCGGCGGTGAAGGCGGTGGTGTTGGTGACGGCGGTGGTGATGTTGGTGATGGTGGCGGTGATGGCGGTGGATGGTGGTGGTGTTGGTGACGGTGGCGGTGATGTTGGTGGTGATGGTGATGGTGGTAACTGCTGAATACTTTCATTATTTGGAACTATTCTAAAACTTTTAATTAAAATTTGGAGTAAGAGATCTTTGATACTGCTAGCCACTATGCCGTCTTCCGGGGTCCCCTCTTGTCACTCTTTCAAGTCTGTTGCATCATTTTCAGTTCCTAAACTACTGTGAGAGTCAACAGGGAATAGTGGATAAGCTCACAGCCTGTGGAGCCAGAAAACCTGGGTGGACGATCAGCTCTGCTGCTCACAACTGTTGTATGTGACCTTGGGCACATTTCTTGCCCTCTCTGTCCATCTGTTATGTCTACAAGAATATTTGTTTCAGGCGGTTATTGAGGTAATATGGGACAAGGACTTAGAAGACAACTTAACTACCATGCTGAGCGCTTGCTCTGCCCCCAGACAGGATGCTAAGTAACCTGAGATAAATTACCTCATTCATTCTAATAAAAACCCCTTTCTACAATTAAGAAAACCGAAGTTTTGCAAGTTTAAGTAACTTGCCCAAGATCACATTTCCTAATCAGTAGAGCTGGGTTCAGAGCTAAAGTTGACACTCTTAAGCCTTCTACCGTGAGACCAAGTTATAACTGTATTCACCGAAACTCACCATCACACATCCGTTCATTACTGACATTCATTTTATGGGTATCACTTGCTTGATTTCGCAATCACTGGGTGGACATCGGGGCCCATTAAGTTTGCTCCACTCGCTCCCCTCCCACACATAAATGCTCAAGTCCAGCTGGTCTGTCATATTTTTTCTATGTCTCATTTCCTGCTGCAGATCACAGCTTTGCTAAGTAGCAAGATGTACA